AGGCGTGGCAGTTTCTCGACGCCATAGTGGGTGCGCACGGGGTGGTCCCCCTATCCGCGCCGGTCGTCCAGGCCGTCGTAGGCCGTAGCAGGCGTGGCAGTTTCTCGACACCATAGGGGGTGCGCACGGGGTGGTCCCCTATCCGCGCCGGTCGTCCGGGCCGTAGCAGGCGTGGCAGTTTCTCGACGCCGTAGGGGTGCGCAGTCCCCCTATCCGCGCCGGTCGTTAGCAGGCATACCATAGGGGGTGCGCAGGGGGTGGTCCCCCTATCCGCGCCGGTCGTCCAGGCCGTAGCAGGCGTGGCAGTTTCTCGACGCCATACTATCCGCCGGTCGTCCAGGCCGTAGCAGGCGTGGCAGCTTCTCGACACCATAAGGGGGTGCGCAGGGGGTGGTCCCCCTATCCGCGCCGGTCGTCCAGGCCGTAGCAGGCGTGGCAGTTTCTCGATACCATAGGGGGTGCGCACGGGGTGGTCCCCCTATCCGCGCCGGTCGTCCAGGCCGTAGCAGGCGTGGCAGTTTCTCGACACCATAGGGGGTGCGCACGGGGTGGTCCCCCTATCCGCGCCGGTCGTCCAGGCCGTAGCAGGCGTGGCACTTTCTCGACACCATAGGGGGTGCGCACGGGGTGGTCCCCCTTTCGGCGCCGGTCGTCCAGGCCGTAGCAGGCGTGGCAGTTTCTCGACGCCGTAGGGGGTGCGCACGGGGTGGTCCCCCTATCCGCGCCGGTCGTTCAGGCCGTAGCAGGCGTGGCAGTTTCTCGAAACCATAGGGGGTGCGCACGGGGTGGTCCCCCTATCCGCGCCGGTCGTCCAGGCCGTAGCAGGCGTGGCACTTTCTCGATACCGTAGGGGGTGCGCACGGGGTGGTCCCCCTATCCGCGCCGGTCGTCCAGGGCAGAGCAGGCGTGGCACTTTCTCGACACTTAGGGGGTGCGCAGGGGGTGGTCCCTGAGCGCGGCCGCTATCCGAGACGGTCGTCCAGGGCATAGTAGACGTGGCACTTTCTCGATTCCATAGGGGGTGCGCAGGGGGTGGTCCCTGAGCGCGGCCGCTATCCGAGACGGTCGTCCAGGGCATAGTAGGCGTGGCACTTTCTCGATTCCATAGGGGGTGCGCAGGGGGTGGTCCCCGAGCGCGGCCGCTATTCGAGACGGTCGTCCAGGGCATAGCAGGTGTGGCACTTTCTCGACACCATAGGGGGTGCACAGGGGTTGGTCCCTCACCGCGGCCGCTATGCACGACGGTCTAATATAAGTATGTGGGGTTCCTCGGCAGCGTAATTTTTCCTCCGCATCGGCGACAACGACCGAACATGACCCCCAGCTGCCCAGTCAATCGCAGCAGCGCCAGTCCAAACACACAGAAGGTGCCCCGCTTTGGTGAAGCATGGCTTTGGAGAACTGCCACACGGGAGCACAAGGGAATAGAGCGGCAGCTGCATGCGGCGGAACGCGCTGGGCGGCGGGGCCGAATCGGCCGCATGCAAAGACGTTCGCCTTTTTTTGTTCCCACCCACTCCTTCCCGAACCTATCCCGGGGCGCGTTTTGACCAGCACTCCGAAACGGACCTGACCGTGGCGACGAGGACCCCCGGAGGCCCAAGAACGTGAAAACTCAGGAGAACCGTCAGTACCGCCACGTTTCCCTCAACGTCCGTCCGCTCCGACACCGCCAACGGCAAAGGGACCCTCCACGAGCCAGGAAGTGCGTGCCTGGTCCCCGAAGGGCGCCACCTGCCAGCCCAGAGCACACGTGGTGGTGCGCCCAACCGCGCTCACGATGGCACCAGGATGGGATTCCATGCGGCGTTGGCGCCGAAGCTGATTGCGTCATGGAGACATCGGTAAACAGAGAGAGAGAGAGAGATAGGAGAAAAAAAGAGCGAGAGACAGAGACAGACATAGAGAGATAAAACACACACACACACACGCACACACACACTGTACGAAACAACCCGACAGGAGACAGGCAGACAGACCGGCAGACAGACACACACGCACACACAAGCCAAAGAACGCAACCGTTCCATATACAACGCGCGACAGTATCAGCGGCCCCATCCCACACGAATGAACAGCTAAAAGGGCACGCTTGTCAGCGCGGTATCTACATGGGGAACGCATGAGAGAACACCGAGGGACGACATCGTGGAGGACAAAGAAGACGAGACAGGGCGTCAAGGGATGAGGGGCATGATGGCCCGGGCAAGGACCTGCATGCCCGCAAGGAGGAGATAGCGGACGGCGCGAAGGGCAAGGAGGACTGACATGCGATCGGTGACGGCGAATGCGGCTTTGTCACAACCCCCTGCAGCAGCGAGCCTGAATTGACGGTCTAGGAGGATAGCCAACATCGCGGCCTCAACCTGCGCAGATCGGCACGGGCACTGAAAAGGTCGCAGCCGCGAGCACGAGCGCTAGGCGCGCAAAAAGTGCACGAGCGCGCCGGCACTCGCGTCGGCGGCTGCCTCGCTCAACGCAAACTCCTAGCCAGGCCGAGATGGCCCGCCAGTTTCTCTGGCTCTTTCCTGCAATCCCTCGCGCAGCCACCGTATGTCCGCAGGCACGCCGCCAAGTTCGCGGCGGCCCTCGGGACAGAAACTTCAGCCCAAGGTCGCGGATCGGGAGCGCATTGTCAAGCGTCGTGGCCCTGCGCAGACTGCCGTCCAGGTGCGATCAGAGCCCGTGCATGTCGCTGGCGACATTGTAGCTTGCGTCGACGGTGACCTCGCGGCGATGAGGTTGAGCTCACGAAAGTGGCCACGATTGCGGCATGTTGGCGTCAACGCTGTTGGGTCTTCGGCTGACGCCATTCCCCTGGACTTCCCAGGAGCCCATGAAAGTAGCTGCAATTGTCCAGTTGGCACCAACCAGGGAGGCGAGACCACGTGGGAAGTATGTTAGACGTCACCATCCTAGAAACTCTCGAAGATGGCGACACCTGCAAAATTGGCAACACCCTGCCTGGCCCCATCTGGGTCAAGATAAAACGTCACTCCGCAGCACCTCTCGGGAGCTCGCAAAAGTGGCGACAGCGCGCGCTACTAGAAGAGGCGTAGGACGTCATTCCGCTGGACTCGCTAAGAGCTCGTAAGAGTGGCGACACTTGTACAAGAGGCCGCACCAGAGGAGGATATCTCCCGTCTACGTCAGCGTAGGAGGTCACTCCGCTGAAGTCACAGGAGCTCACGAAACTGGCGACAAGTGCAAAATTGTCGCCATCCAGGGGCCCCCGAGGAGCTCACGAAGGTGGCTGCATGTGCGCAATTAGCACCACCCACGGGGGCGAGGCCGGGTCTGCATAAGGCAGAAGGTATCACTCAGATGCACCATCCAGGAGCTCGCGAAAGTGGCGAGAGCTGCGCCACTGGCAGCACCCAGGGAGCACCCGTGCGGCTCCGCACGATGAAGCCGTGCCTTCACTGGACCTCCCAGGGAGCCCTCGAAACGCGGCGGCACCACCCGGAGGAGGAGGAGGAGGAGGAGGAGGAGGAGGAGGAGGAGGAGGAGGAGGCGGAGGCGGAGGAGGAGGAGGAGGAGGAGGAGGGGACCTCCCAGGAGCGCTCCCGCGTGGCGAGGGTGGTCGCGCCAGGCAGGCCGGGCGCGCTGCACGAGACGACCCTTGCACGGGCGGGCTCGCCCCGCCCGATCGCAAGGCCGCTGGCTCAAGATGGCACGGCGGTCGCACGCTGGCTCCCGAGTCGCGGCAGAGCAGCAACTACCTACCAGACCACCCCAACCCAACCCGAAGACCCAAATTTCGGGCTGGGGGGGGGGGCACGGGCTCCAGGTGTGTTTTTCCCATGTTCCCCCCCCCCCCACACACACTGGAAATGGAGGGCAAATCGAGGCCTTCGGGTTGGGTTGGGGTGGCTTGGTGGGCGGTGAGGCAGGGCCGCCAGCTCCCGCTCGCAAGATGACACGAGCGCGCGCTGACGCACGAGTCGCGGGAGGCAGGCGCGTCGAGGCAGCCTGGGGCATAGGAGGTCCGAGAAGACCTGCTCCGGGAGGGCAGGGCGGAAGGGGGAAGGCACATACGTGTACGACCACCCATCGGGCGCTCAAAAGGTTGCCGGGAGGGCCAACTGACGACGACCGCGGTGACCGTGGTGGTGTCGATGCTGGTGATGCGCTCGCGAGCTGGTGGCGATGCATGATGACGATGGAGGTGACGATGCATGATGGCGATTGTGATGGTGACAATGCAAGGCGACGATGCTGGTGATGGGCCGGGCATTTCAAACGGGCAGCACACAGCAGTAGCAGTGCACCATGCACCCCTGGCTAGCAGAGCCTGGCGAATCGGCGGCAGCAAAGCAAGCGCCAACGGCACGACACACCCGCGATGGTGCACTCACACCCGTGATTGTGTCATCACCGCCTCGTGGGCAAATAAAAACCACACCCGCTGATGGAGGTAGCGGTTTTGCCTCACTCTCAGTCGCACTTTCAATCGGTCTCGCGATCCATCTCACAATCGATCCCACTACCTATCTATTACTCTCACGATGGATCGGTCTCACTATCCATCTATCTCACTATCTATTTATCTGTCGAACTCACGGGACAGCCATCGGCACACCATCGGGGCACCATCGGGATACCATTGAGACACTATCTGGACTACCATCGAGACACCAGCGAGACACCATCGGAACACCATCGGAGCACCATTAGGACAACCTCGGGATACCATCGAGACACCCTGGGGACACCATTGGGACACCTTCGGAACACCATCTGGACACCATCTGGACACCATCTGGAAACAATCGGAACACCATCGGAACACCATCGGGACACCATCGGGGCACCATTGGGACACCATCGGAGCACCATCGGGACACCATCGGGACACTATCTGGACACCATCGGGACACCATCGGGACACCATCGGGACACCATCGGGGCACCATCTGGACACCATCGGGTAACCATCGGGGCACTATGGGGACACCATCGGGACGGGACACCATCGGGACATCATCGGAACAACATCGGGCCACCATTCCGACGCCATGCGTACACCATCGAGACACCATCGGGACAACATCTGATACCGTCGGAACACCATCGGGACACCGTCGGGACGCCATCGAGGCGAGATCGGGGCACCATCGGTACGCCATCGCGACACCATTCGGGACACCCCCCGGCCATCGCCGGCCAACCGAGGGGGAAAGCACCACAACATCTGGCCCGGCCACGCCCCCGCACCGGCAAAGTCGCGCCCCTCGCCCGGGCACGCAGCTGCACCCCGCCGGCACGCACGGCACGAGCACGGGGCCGAGGCGGATTTCCCGGTGGGGGGCCGCCCTGTCGTCTCGATCTCGTCCCCAAACCTCCGACTTTACGCGCACAGTGGGAGATCGAGGTATGGACTGCACACGGAGGGCGAGGAGGAGGAGGCGGCGGGAGGAGGGGGAGCGGCTGACCCCCTCGGCCCCAGAGCCCCCTCCAGTCCTTTCTTCGAGTCCGTGCCCAGCTCGAAGTGCTTGGTGCGCTTGATGGGCTTCATCCGCTTCGCCTGCAAGCTTCCCGGAGCACGCCGCGCGAGAGAGAGAAAGAGAGAGAGAGAGAGAGACTGACAAGCCCTCCGATGGAGCGCGGAGGTCTCTGGAGGTCTCGCAGGCAAAACAAGTCTCCCCCACTGTCCTTAGGTCGGGCCTGTCCCCCTACAAGGGGATTTGGACAAAAAATTAAAAATATCTAAAACATATGCAAAAGATGCCCGAAAACACTCAAAAGATAGACCCCAGACTATTCTTTAACTATTTTTGAATATTCCCCCTGTAGAGGGACAGGTCTGACTTAACACTGTCCCATCCTGACCCATCGCTCGCCCCCTCGACCGAGCGAGCGAGTGGACCAGCGGGTCGCGGACTGGGGGCGACGACGACGAAGACGACGACGACGACGACGACGACGACGACGAAGACGGCGGCGACGGCGGCGGCGGCGGAGGCGGCGGCGGCGGTGGTGGCGGCAGCGGCGACGACGGGGGATGTCAGCCGAATGTCGGCCAGAACCCGTTACTCCACGACCACGGTACCTCAAGGCACGGGATAGGCTGCCCTCTCAACAAATCAAGCGCACCCTATGTCAGACCAAAGGCGGCCAGTGAGCATGCTGCCTCAGGGGCTCTGGCACGGGGTCAACGAAAAGAGGGGCAAAGGAAAGACCCATGCAGGCGCCTAGAGCATTACGGGGAAGAAAGACCGCGATCGAAAATCTTCATCAGACCTATGAGAGCCAGCAAAAAAAACATAACCGCGAAAACCTCCTGAAAGCTCCGGAGGCCGCCGAAACCTCCTGGACCCTCCCACCTCCTCGCCTTGCACTTGGTGCACTCAAACTTGAGCACGATCTTCTTGGTGGTCTTCGCCTTCTTGTGGAACACGGGTTTCGTCTGCCCGCCAAAGCCGGCCTGGAAGGGCCGCAGAGTGTACGCCGGGCGATGGCTTGGTAGGGGAGGGGCGGCGGAAGGGTACCAAGCCAGCGGGGTACCAAGCCGGCGGCATCGTGGGAGGGCGGGAGGAGGAAGGGGGAAGGGCTCCCGGATACCAAGCCGGCAAGGTACAAAGCCAGCGCTGGCTTGGTAGGGGGTGGGCTGCGGGGGTATCAAGCCGGCGGGGTACCAAGCCGGCGGCATCGCGGGAGCGCGGGAGGGGGGGGAGGGGTTTGGGGTTCCCGGATACCAGCCGGCGGGGGGAAAGCCGGCGCTGGCTTGGTAGCGGGGGCGGCGGGGGGAGGTACCAAGCCGGCGGGGTACCAAGCCGGCGGCATCGTGGGAGGGCGGGAGAGGGGGGGGGAAGGGCTCCCGGATACCAAGCCGGCGGGGTACCAAACCGGCGCTGGCTTGGTAGGGGGCGAGCTGCGGGGGGTACCAAGCCGGCGGGGTACCAAGCCGGCGGCATAGCGGGAGCGCGGGAGGGGGGGGAATGGCTACCCGCTGGCTTGGGGGCGGGCGGCGGGGGGAGGTACCAAGCCGGCGGGGTACCAAGCCGGCGGCATCGTGGGAGGGCGGGAGGGGGGGGGGGAGGGGTTCCCGGATACCAAGCTGGCGGGCTACCAAGCCGGCGCTGGCATGGTAGGTGGGAACCCCTGGGGGGGTACCAAGCCGGCGGGGTACCAAGCCGGCGGCTTGGGTAGGTGAAGAGTGCATGGGGGAATACCAAGCCGGCGGCAGCTGGCTTGGTAGGGAGGAGTCCCTTGCGGGGGTACCAAGCCTGGCGGGGGTACCAAGCGGCGGCCGCTCGGCGTTGGTAGGGAAGAGGCCCCGGGAAGAGAGGAGGTACCAAGCTGCGGGGTACCAAGACGGAGGCCGCTGGCTTGGTTAGGGGGAGCGTTTTTTTTTTGGGGGGTGCCAGAGCCGGCGGGTTACCAAGACGGCGGCCGCTGGAGTGGTAGGGGGGGGGGGTGCCCTGGAGGGGGACCAAGCCGGCGGGGGTACCAAGCGGCGGCCGCTGGCTTGGTAGGGGGGAGCACCTGGGGGGTATCCAAGCCGGCGGCCGCTGGATTGTGGTAAGATGGGACCCCCTGGGGAGGTAGCCAAAGCCGGCGGGGTACCAAGCCGGCGGCCGCTGGCTTGGTAGGGGGGGTCCCTGGGGCGGGTACCAAGCACGCGGGGGTACCAAGCCGGCGGCCGCTGGCTTGGTAGGTGGGGGGCCCTGGAGGGGGTACCAAGCCGGCGGGGTACCAAGCCGGCGGCCGCTGGCTTGGTAAGGGGGAAACCCGAGGGGGGATACCAGGCCGGCGGCCGCTGTGGCTTGATAGCGGGAAGCACCTGCGTGGGTACCAAGCCGGCGGGGTAACAGCCGGCGGCCGCTGGATTGGTAGGGGTAGAACCTCTGGGGGGGGGGTGTGGGTACCAAGCCGGCGGGCAGTACCCAAGACGGCGGCGATGGTCTTGGTAGGGGGGGCCACAGGGGGGGTACCAAGCCGGCGAGGTACCAAGCACGGCGGCGCTGGCTTGGTAGGGGAGCGCTTGGGGGGGGTACGCAGCGGCGGGGGGGAGGTACCAGGCCGGCGGCCGCTGGCTTGGTAGGGGTGAGCTCCTGGGGGGGCACCCAACCGGCGGCCGCTGGCTTGGTAGGGGGGAGCCCCTGGGGGGGGGGACCAAGCCGGCGGCCGCTGGCTTGGTAGGGGGGAGCCCCAGCCCCCTGCGGGGGTACCAAGCCGGCGGGGTACCAAGCCGGCGGCCGCTGGCTTGGTAGGGGGGAGCCCTTGGGGGGGAGGGGGGTACCAAGCCGGCGGGGTACCAAGCCGGCGGCCGCTGGCTTGGCAGGGGGGATCCCCTGTGGGGGTACCAAGCCTGCGAGGGTACCAAGCTGGCGGCCGCTGGCTTGGTAGTGGGGGCCCCGGGGGGGGGTATCAAGCCGGCGGGGTACCACACAGGCATACCCTAACGGGCGGGTCGGGTCGGGCGATACGTTAAAGTATGATGAATCATCGAGCTGGCGCGTGCGTACCCTAACGCGCGGGTCGGGTCGATAGGGTGGGACAATAAAATATGATGCATAATCGAGTTGGCACGTGCGCACCCTGACGGGCGGGTCGGGTCGGGCGGGCAGGACATTAAATTATGATGCCCCATCGAAATGGCACGTGCGTACCCTAACGGGCGGGTCGGGTCGGGCGGGTGGGACATTAAAGTATGATGCATCATCGAGTTGGCACGTGCGTACCCTAACGGGCGGGTCGGGTCGGGCGAGAGACCCTAACGGGCGTGCGAGTCGGGCGGCGGGCGGGGCCCCAACGGGCGGGCGGCGAGTCGGGCGGGCGGGCGCCCGCGCGCTCCCTGAAGCACCACCGCACCACGCCACACATGCAACACCACCACGCCTCCTCATCCCCCTCATCCTCCCCCTCCTCCGCCTCCTCCTCCGCCCCCCGACCTCCTCATCCTTTCTTCCTCCTCCTCTTCCTCCTCCTCTTCCTCCTCCTCTTCCTCCTCCTCTTCCTCCTCCCCCCTCCCCAGCCTCCTCCACCTCCTCCTCCTCCTCCTCCTCCTCCTCCTCCTCCTCCTCCTGTCCCTCCCCATCCCCCTCCCTCCTGGTATCGCTGGTACCGGAGGCTGTCGAGTACTGGGCGCTATCTTGGAGGCGGGGCCTATTGAGTACCGAGTGTTGTCTTCAAGATGGGGCCTGTTGAGTACTGGGCGCCCTCTTGGAGACGGAGCCTGTTGCGTACTGGGTGCTCTCTTGTAGGCGATTTTCTTTTTTAATGCAACTTCGCAGGGGCCTCTCTGATATCGGAAGCTGTGGAGTACTGGGTGCTCTCTTGGAGGCGGGGCCTGTTGAGTACCGAGCGATGTCTTGGAGACGGGGCCTGTTGAGTACTGGGTGCTCTCTTGGAGACGGGGCCTGTCGAGTACTGGGTGCTCTCTTGGAGCCGGCTTTCTTTTTTAATACAACTTCGAAGGGGCCTCTCTGGTATCGGAGGCTGTGGAATACTGGGTGCACTCTTGGAGGCGGGGCCTGTTGAGTACCGAGTGCTGACTTGGAGATGGGGCCTGTTGAGTACTGGGCGTCCTCTTGGAGACGGAGCCTGTTGCGTACTGGGTGCTCTCTTGGAGGCGGACTTCTCGTTTAATACAACTTCGAAGGGGCAACTCTGGTATCGGAGGCTGTGGAATACTGGGTGCTCTCTTGGAGGCGGGGCCTGTTGAGTACCGAGTGCTGTCTTGGAGACGGGGCCTGTTGAATACTGGGTGCTCTCTTGGAGACGGGGCCTGTCGAGTACTGGATATTATCTTGGAGCCGGTTTCTTTTTTAATACAACTTCGAAAGGGCCTCTCTGGTATCGGAGGCTGTGGAATACTGGGTGCTCTCTTGGAGGCGGGGCCTGTTGAGTACCGGGTGCTGTCTTGGAGACGGGGCCTGTTGAGTACTGGGTGCTCTCTTGGAGACGGGGCCTGTCGAGTACTGGGTGCTCTCTTGGAGGCAGAATTCTTTTTTAATGCAACTTCGAAGGGGCGGCCTCTCTGGTGCAGGAGACTGTGGAATACCGGGTGCTCTCTTGGAGGCGGGGCCTGTTGAGTACCGGGTGCTGTCTTGGAGACGGGGCCTGTTGAGTACTGGGTGCCCTCTTGGAGACGGGGCCTGTTGAGTACTGGGTGCTCCCTTGGAGGCGGATTCCTTTTTGAATGCATATTCGAAAGGGCCTCTCTGGCATCGGAGGCTGTGGAGTACTGGGTGTTCTATTGGAGGCGGGGCCTGTTGAGTACCGAGTGCTGTCTTGGAGACGGGGCCTGCTGAGTACTGGGTGCCCTCTTGGAACCGGGGCCGGTTGAGTACTGGGTGCCCTCTTGGAGGCGGAATTCTTTTTTAATGCAACTTCGAAGGGGCCTCTCTGGCATCGGAGGCTGTGGAGTACTGGGCGCTCTCTTGGAGGCGGGGCCTGATGAGTACCGGGTGCTGTCTTGGAGGCAGTGCCTGTTGAGTACTGGGTGCTCTCTTGGAGACGGGGCATGTTGAGTACTGGGTGCTCTCTTGGAGGCGGATTTCTGTTTGAATGCAACTTCGAAAGGGGCCTCTCTGGCATCGGAGGCTGTGTAGTACTGGGTGCTCTCTTGGAGGCGGGGCCTGTTGAGTGCCGAGTGCTGTCTTGCAGGCGGGGACTGTTGAGTACTGGGTGCTCTCTTGGAGACGGGGCCTGTTGAGTAGCGGGTGCTCTCTTGGAGGCGGATTTCTTTTTTAATGCAACTTTGAAGGGGCCTCTCTGGTATCGGAGGCTGTGGAGTACTGGGTGCTCTCTTGGAGGCGGGGCCTGTTGAGTGCCGGGTGCTTTCTTGGAGACGAGGCCTGTTGAGTACTGGGTGCTCTCTTGGAAGCAGATTTCTGCTTTAATACAATTCCGAAAGGGGCCTCTCTTCAAAACGAGGACCCAGCAACACAAGTTGGTTGGGGACAAACGACGGGGGCCGCCCTGGGCCACGACTCGAGCGGGGAAGCGGCGCGGGGCGGGCAGGCGAACTCTTTTGGATCAGAGAGCAAGGCGAAGCGATCGCCTCTCAGCGCCCGCGAGAGCTCCGCGGCGCGCGCGAAGGCAGTCCTGCAGAACAAGCCCAGTGCGACTTGCGCGCGCTGCTTGAAACAATTGAGGTCCCAAGAGCCTGCGTCCAGACGGCTCCGCGGCCGCCGGCGCGCGCGCCCTGCGCCACTCTCTGGAACGATCGCCCCAGCCCCCTTCTCTGCACCCTGCGCTACAATGACCCGACAGTGCCCATTCAACCCGGCGCCCTTTCGCCTACCCCGCAGCCCAATTTAAGACCCCCTCCCCGACGAGAACTCCAAGCACAGGGCTGCACCCCGCTGCACTGCCTTCAACTCGAGCCCAATCGTCTCCACCCCCCTGGATTCGCTCTGCGCGCCACGAACTGGCTACGTGCTATGATTCGCCACCCTGCCCCGCCAGTCGCCCATGGGTCCCGCGCCGACGCGCAGCGCGCCGCATCCCCACTCGCCCGCGGCAGGCACCCTCCCCGACCCCATGTCTCCCCCGTTCGCCCCCCCCGCCAACCTGCCCGCCAACGATCGGCGGCGCGCGTCAGGCGGCATCTGCGACAATGCAAGCCCGAAGCCCATAGCAGCTACCGCACGAGAACATGCCGTGCACGTCGGCCCGGTCCAACCTAAGGGGCCGGCTGTCCTGGCCAAAAAAATGCCCGCACCCGGCGGGCACAGAATTCCGCAGCACTGCGTGGTGCACGGTCTTGCTGCGCAAGTTAATCCACACGTGAGCGCTGTGTAGGTCCTGCTTCCTCATCGTCGGGAGAGGATCGCGCGGCGCCTCTGCCGGGGCGGCACGCTTGCCTGCCTCTCCATCCGGGGCCTGTTCAGGCGGCGGGGGCTCTGGGACCTCGCAAGACGTCCGGATTATCTTCCGCTTCTTCCGCCAGCCCGCGCGGTCTGGGATATCGCGCTCGCACCCCCCCGCGTACGCCGCCGCGAGACGCAGGCCCCCCTCGGCCGAAGAACTCGGTCCGCTGCGGGGGGCAGCCGGCGCAGCTTGAGCGGAGCGGTACGTCTGGATGGCGCGGTGGCAGGACTGCCTCCGGTTGTGGTCCCGCGCGAAAATGAGGAGCAGCAGCTCCTCGTGCACTGGGTGCGCCCCGGACAGGACGACCTGCCAGCGATTGGCCACGTGGAACAATTGCTCCACCGCTTCTGTGTCCACGCCCTTCAGAGAGGGGTAGTCGTCGGCGTCGACGCCAGGCACGAAGTACGGGCTCGTCTTATCGCGGCAGCTCTTGTGATAGGTGAAATGCAACCGATCGATGATCCATTGCAAGCCCAGTAACCACGTCCAGCCGGGCGCGTCCGGATCACTCGGGGGGCTCTCGCGCTGCCGCTTGCGCAGGTGCCGGGCGACCGCGCAGGCGTTGTCGTAAATCACGCATGCCAAATCTAGGAACAGCTCCCTGGTGGCCAGCAAGAACAACAGTAATTGCGAAATGCTCTCGGACGCCCACATCGGCGCAATTGCCGCAATTTGCAGGGAAGGCGCGACGGCCACGAAGATGCCCGCGGATTTGCGGCCAACCAGCAACTCGTCGACGTCATTCCTGTCATCCTTGTTGCAGTCCTCCTGCTGTTTCTTCTGCCTCGCCCGCCGAAGCAGCCACATCTCGTGCTGCCTGACGTCGTCCGCGTTCACGGCCTCCCGCCTCGCCCACCCCCCCTGCGCCCTGTACTCCAGGAGCACCCCGTCTTGCCGGACTGTTTTACGGTGGTCCTCCACCACGAGGGCGTCCTGGGATCGCTGCCACCGTCGTCGGTGCCCGCGAGCATACGCACGCCTCTTGCGATACAAACTGCCAGGGGCGGGCCGCTCCGCGCATCCCTTGAAATACCCCTCCCGAACTTCCGCGGAGAAGACGGGATTGCAGTCCCGGGCATTGCATATACTGGTCTGGACGCACCATTTGCCGTCAACGACCAGGGCCTGCACGCGGCGGAATAGCCAGCAAGCATGAGAAGCTGACGACGTCGAGAACGCCTTCCTCGCCTGACAGAGCAACGCCTCAAAATCGGAGCCCTGGTGGCGCGGCCGCAGACACCAGACGAATGTGTGAACGTCCAGAGCGCACTCGGCGAACATCAATATGCAAGCGAAGGCGATCACGTTGATCTCGAAGATCTGCAGCAGGTGCGTCCTTGACGCGTACATCGTGCCGCGCATGGACGCTGGCCACAAGGTCTGGTAGATCACAGCGAGCGCGGCGAAGCCCATGCCGCCGCGGGCTAGGAAACCGAGCAAGTAAGACAACAGGGTGACCTCAACGACGACCTGCGGAGTCGCAAAAAAAACACCGGTTCTGCTCGCAGCAAGTGGAGGCAAGAACAGGCGAGTGAAAGCCTCGCGGGAACTGAGAATCCTCTGGCACTGCTGGCCACTTCCAGTTGCCGACAAATACGGCGCGGCACACTGTGCATCGGAGGCACACGATCAGGTTGTCCTGGCCGAGCGGGCTGCAGTCTGCCTTCCCGCCTCCGCCCTAGCGGCCGCAGCTGGGCGCGCCGCCCGCGTTGGAGGCCGCGCTGCCGCGCTTGCCCCGCCCCTCGCCGCCGCCACCTCTTCGGCGGCGCGCGGGGGGGGGGGGGCCGAGCGCGTCGGCAGCCCTCGAAGGAAACAGGGCCCCCCCTCCCTCAGGAATCGCTCCTCTGAAGCCTCCTGCCAGGCATCCGCTGTCTCCGCAGATGGCCCCCCTGCCTCCTTCGAAGGCCGCCCTCCGGGCCGCCCCGGCCGCGCGCCGCCGACCTCGGCCGCGGGCCAGGTCTTGCTCCTTCCGCCCCGAGCAGCTGTAGCAAGCCTGCGCCGTCAGCTTCAGGCTTATGATGTTATCTGCCCTGCTAAGAGCTCATCCATGGGAAAAGTCTGATATAGGTTTGAACTAACCTCAAAATAGGCGCTGCCCGCCTGTAAAAAATAACAGAAAAAATAACCCTACAAGTTGGTCGCGGGGATCTGGGGCACAGTCGCGCGACCTCGAAAAACAATGGCGCGAAGCGCACGCGTAACCGCGGACCCAAGAATAGGCTTACCCGCCACGTCGCAAGCTGGGTTCGGATGCGCGCCTCGGAAACAGCGAAATCGACGCAACGCGCCGCGCAACAACAGGACGCGGCACTTCCAAAATACAGGCGCAGAGAGTTCCACGGACCGCGGATCGCGGGCCAGACGACGCCGCCCGACACGTGACACGGCGAACAAAGGGTGGGCCACAAGAGAAACACAGGGGAAACCACGCGCAACCTGCTGGGGCACCCACGCCCAGGCAGGAAACAGCGCTATCTTAAGTTTAAACCGAAACTGTCTGGAGGGAGGGGGGAGGGAGAGGGAAGAGGGGGAGGGGGGGCGGGATAACGAGATGGAGGGAGGGAGGGAAGGGGGGGGACACGGAGGGACATGAACAAACAGGGGGAGGGAACGAGGGAGGAAGGCACGCATGGGGGAGGGGATGGAATGAGGGAAGTAGAAGGGGAGGGAGAAAAGAAACAGAGAAAAAACGAGAGAAACGAAAAGGGAAAGAAGGAGGGAGGGGAAGAGGGAGGGGAGGAAGAGAGGGAAGGAGCGGAGATGAGAAGGAAGGGGAGGAGAGGGAAGGGGCGGGGAGGAGAAGGAGCGGGGAGGGGGGGAGAGGAAAAGAAAGGAGAAAGGGGTGTAATAAGGGAGGAGGAAGGGAGGGAAGGAGCGTGGAGGAAGCGCTCGATCTTCGAGGCTCGAGGTTCGAAAATCGACGAGGCCCCCCTCCCTCCACCCCTCCATCCCTCCCCCCGCCCCTCCTTCCATCCCTCCCTCCGGCCCCCCCTCACTCATTTTGTCTCGTTTCCCTACCTCCCTCTCCCCTTCCCTCCCCGGTTCTCTGCCTCCCTCCCTCCCCCTCCCTTCCGCTCCTCCCAGGGTGGCGAGCAGTCGCGGGCGCGGGGGCCCTGGCGCATGTCGAACGGCCGCGGCGACGACGGCGACGACGACGACGGAGGCGACGAGGGCGAGGAGAAGGAGGACGAGCACGTCGACGACGACGAAGGACAAACCAGTTTCGATAGAGAGTAGGACGAGGGGCAAGTAGCGACGAGGACGAGGCAGGCCGAAGAGCGCCAAGAGGAGGAGAGCAAAGGGATGACGAGGGCGATGCGGAGGGCATGGAGAAGGAGGAGGAAGGGAACATGAGCGGTGGACGGAACAGGGATGGGAACGAGGATCGGGGGGGCGAAAGCGGGGGAGCGGGAGATGCGAACGAGGATCGGGAGATGCGAACGAGGATTGGGAGGATGCGAAGGAACAGGCGGGGGAGGAGAAACAGGAGGAGGAGGAGGAGGAGGATGAGGAGGAGGAGGAGGAGGAAGAGGAGGAGGAGGAGGAGGAGGAGGATACCTCATCTCCTGCTGCGGCAACGCCTCTCTGTCACTCCGAGGGCGCCGCCGTCGTCGTTGTCGTCGTCGTCATCGTCGTCGACGTCGTCGTCTTCGTCGTCGTCGTCGTCGTCATCATCGTCCTCGACGTCCTCGTCGTCCTCGGCGTCGTCGCCGTTCTCAGATCTTGAACTTCATCGCGAGCGCGTCCTTCAGCTGCTTGGCGAGCAGCGGCGGCAGCATCTTGTTGTAGTCGGAGGTGACTTTCTTCACCTCGCGGATCTCGCCCTGCAACTTGCTGCGCAGGCCGGGCGCCGTCTTCTCCCTCACGAAATGGTGCATGAGGCACCCCTGGAACTTGGTGCGCTGGGCCGCGTAGATCTCCTCGGCGGCGGCCTCCAGGATGCTCGTGTCCTTGTCCACGGACGCGGCGTCGGCATACAACTCGTAGAGCTTGACGGCCTAGGGGGGGCCCTCCTACTACGACTCCTCATCCTCCCCCGTAGCCTCCTCCCCCCCCGTCTCATCCTCCACCTCCACCTCCGACTCCTCTCCTCCACCTCCTCGTCCGGCGGCCTCCAGGATGCTCGTGTCCTTGTCCACGGACGCGGCGTCGGCATACAACTCGTAGAGCTTGACGGCCTAGGGGGGGCCCTCCTACTACGACTCCTCATCCTCCCCCGTAGCCTCCTCCCCCCCCGTCTCATCCTCCACCTCCACCTCCGACTCCTCTCCTCCACCTCCTCGTCCGTATCCTCCCCCTCCTCCTCCCCCATTCCACCACCTCCTCCACGCCGTCTCCTCCTCCTACTCCCCCCTCCTCCACCTCCTCTCCCCCCCTTCCCCCATCCTCCACCACCTCCAACTCTTCGTCTCCATCTCCCCCTCTCTCTCCCTCCTCCCCCCCCTGTGACTGGCATCGCCTGCTGCACGTCCTGCGCAGCGCTCACCAGGGACTGCGGGTCGATCGTAAGCACGCTGCTCACGGCGAACTCCACGAACTCCTTCCAGGTCTCGCCCACGAACGCGTCGACGCCGTACTCGCCGTTCACCTTCTTCAGCGCCTTGAGCTTGTCCCTGAGGCCGATGAAGCTCCTGCCCACATAGTCGCCGTGCAGCTCCTTCAGCAAGCCGTCCGCCTCGCCCAGGACGTCGGCCACGGCAGCGGGAGGCCCTCCGTCACCAGCGCCCGCTGCAATCATCTCGCGGAGCTGCTGCGAGGATCTCTGCAAGGACTTCACCAGCTCGAAGTTGCCAGGCTTCGCGATCTCCTCGGTGCTGGCACCGCAGGCGCGCAGGTCGCCGATGGTAGACGAGGTGGTGACTGCCTTACCGGTAATAGCCAATTTAGCCCCCACGCCGTCCACGCTCTGGCCGCACAGCCCTGCCAGCCCAGTTGCTACAACCACATACTTATACAGCGTGTCGTTGTCCATGCGGGCCTGCCCGACCTGCGTAAGCACGCACTTCGCGATGTCCTGGGCGAGGGAGACGGCCGTGCTGGCAGGGGCGTCCTCGGAGGTAATGGCGAGCTCGCGCATGGTGTTCACAAGACCGCCCAACTCAGCGACATCGACCGCCTGCAACCACTCATACTCCTTGTCCTTCTCGACTGGCTTGGCCATCTCGCTCAGCTTCGCAGTCAGTGCGGCCTCCTTGGCGCCCTTGGCCATCTCCTGCATCTGCGCGCCGACGATCAGCATCGCCTGATTCAGCGGCTCGCTCATGGGGTACAAGATGACTGCCTCGGAGAGCACCGCCTGCCTGCCCTGCACTACAGCAACGTCAACGTGTTCTGGCGCTCCAGTCGCGATCACCTCGCCCTTCCGCTCAAGGGCCGCGCGCGCCGAGTCCAGCATCTGGCAGGTTGCCGCGGGGGGCAACTTCTCCTTGAACAGGGCCAGCCTGGAGCATATAGTCTTCATCTGCGGGGCGAACTCCTTGGGCGTGTCTCCCAAGTCCGCAATCATGCGCGCAGTCTCTTTGCACTGGACTTTCAGCTTGTCGATGTCCTTGATGCTGCGGATGAACGCCTGCATCTTGGAATTCCAGAAGTCCGTGGTCTCGATCGCCGAGGCCACCAAGCACTTCGGCGTCCTCGTTGTCTTCCCGCATTGCGCGTACATCTGCTGCATGTCATCCTGGGAAGGAAATCGGCGCAACATCAAATTCAGGTGGGCGCTCTGGTTTTCACTTGGGGCGCGGGCCAAACACTGCCAGACCTGGACCCTCGCTCCAAGGCCGGCCAGGCGGGGAGAAACAACGACAACGGCGCCGACAACGCTAGTGGCTCGTGGACTACCATCGCAGCCCGCTCACAACACCAGACACGCAGCCACACAGACAGACTTGTGAGCGGGCTGCGATGGTAGTGCACAAGGTAGATTGCAGAGGGGGATATTAGCTGGCGGCCGCGGTCCATGCTATCATCCTGGAGACCGTCCGAGCCCATGGTGATAAGGGAATCCAACCGACCCTTTAGGGCGTAAGTGGTCTGAGGCGTTTCCTCTTCCAACCCCCCTTCTTCCCCGTCTGGGAGGGGGTTGCCCCCCCCCCCCCCCCACCCCCCCCCCCGCACACCTCCCTCTCCCCCCCCACCCCCCCCCCCCCCCCCCCCCCCCCCGACCTCCCCCCCCCCACCCATTCACCGAAGAGCCACCCCCCTCGCACCCCTACCCCCCCCCCCCCAGCCCCCGGGCCCCGCCCGCTCCCACACCCGCCCCCACCCCCCCCCCCCCCACCCCCCTCCCCACCACCCCCACCCTCCCCGCCCCCCCACCCCCCCCCCCCACAGTCCCACCCCCCCCCCCCCCGCCGCTTGCCCCCCCTCCCCATCCCCCTTCGACCCCGCCGCCATCACCCCCCCGCCCCCACACCCCACTCCCATTGCCCCCCATCCCCTGGACCTGGGCGGGGCGGGCCGCGCAGCGCCAGAGGGTACTTTTAGCCCAAGACGGCTCCAAGAAGGCCTCAGAGAGCCCAACCTGACATCCAATATCGTTCAATATAGCCAAAGGTGCCTCAATCTGGCTCCCAATATGCTCCAACAGGCCCCAAGGCCGCCCCAAGACGGCTCCAAGTTGCCAAAGAGCTCCCCAAGGAGGCCCCGAAGGTACCACAATCAGTCAAAACGCCTACAGAAAATCCGCGCGTTGTGCTTGCTTGCCATCTCGCTTCCGATGACCATTTGAGGCCTCGAGATGGCTCCAAGATGGCGAAAGAGAGCCCCGAGAAAGGCCCAAGAGAGCCCCAATGCGGCCCCACCAGCGCCCAGGAGCGCCCCGAGAGCGCTCCAAGACGGGTCTAGGAGACGATTTTCAGCACTCTTGATGGGGCTTTGCTAATTGAAGCTCCCCTCGCGTTTGATCGATGTCGTCCAAAATGGCATCAAGAAAGCTTCCGAGGCTTCGAAGACAGCTCCAAGAGGCTCCCAGGAGGCCCCCAAGAAGCCCCGGGACGGCCCAAGAAGCCCCCTTGTGGCGTATATGACTCGAGGCCGTTGGTTGCACACCTCCAGCGACCCCCCCCCCCCCCCCCCGAGGCTCCAAGACGACCCCAAGAGGGCCCCAAGAGGACCCTGGGAGGAACCCGCAGTCCCCCACCCAGACTGGACATCTTTAGTTTGAATAAGTACTACCCCACAGTCGCCGTCTTGAAGCCCTATTGGGGCCCTCCCGAAGCAGTCTTGGGTGCCGTTGGAGGCATCCTGGGGCCCTATTGGGGCCATGGGAGAGCTCCTGGAAGGCCCCAATAAGATCCCGCGAGGGCCCCGAGAAGGCCTCGAGAAGGACCCAAGTGGATCCCAAGCGGCCTCCAGAGCCCCCCACCCCCGAAGCACCCAAGGCGCCCAAGGCCCCCCCAGGACCGCCAAGAGACCCCAATGCACCCCCTGAGGCACCCAATGTCCGCCCAAGAGATATCCCAAGATATTCCGAGAGGCATCCAAGAGGCTTGTGGCCATTGTGCTCGCCCTCCTCTTCGATCCTCCTCTTCATCCTACTCCTCTTCCTCCTCCTCCTCCTCCTCATCGTAGTCATCACCTTGCCAATCTTCCCTCATCAATCCATCCGTCATCCTCCTTATCATTCTCCTTCGAACGGTTCGGCTGCCTCCCTCCTTCCTCCTGCACTTCAATCATCACCTCAACTCGCCTGGGCGTCGTCCTTGGACGGGCAGGCAGGGATGCGCGAAGCGACAATAATTCCAAACCGTACTCCAATCGTTCAAGGCGGACGCCACGGCGTTCTCCGCCTCCTCGAGGTCGACGTGCTTGACCGCCTTCATGCAATGAGTGGCCAGTGCGACCACCTCCGACGCCTTCTCGCCCCCCGAGCGAATCAGCGGGATGAAGACCCTCTCGAAGACGACGTTGTTGAACAACTGGATCTTGTGGTTCATGTGCTCGCCGCACGCTGCCACGCGGGGGTCTCTGGGGTCGAACAGAGCAGCTTGGCCGCTGACTGGTCACGGCGTGCAGATCTCAAATACCAAGCCCCAGTTCTTCTCGGCAATGGTGCTTTGCAGTCGCTTCGTCAGCAGGGCGTTCTTGACGACATCTGGCCACACCACGCCCTCCTGGACCATCCTGTCAATGTGGGGAGTGAGCTCACTGATGGGCGTACCTTTGATGGACTCTGGGGTTAGCTGCTCCGCAGAGGCCGCCAACTTGATGAGGTTGCCCAGCAGTGACGCCTCAATGTTCTCGTCGCCCCCTTGGGCCTTCATCCTCGTGAGCGCCCTCCGCGCCCCCGACATCGCGCGCCCGTCCAGCGTTCTGGACATGATCGCACTCAAGTCGATCTTGGCCCTCCACTTCTCGACCGATCCTGGCGGCGGCAATGCCATGGGAAGGGGGGTTCGTTTACCCCCTGGAGCACAAGCGTTCGACTCATCACTGCACCACGAGGCACCAACTATTTCGGATGTAGGGAGGTGGTCTGGACGGTGCACGGCGCCGCACGGCACACATCGAACGAGATCCGTGACTCAGCGAATGCATGCCTACCCATTCCAAGCTCGCCCCGTCGGGGCCGCGACATGCCGCCCCAAACCAGCCACGCAGAAGCCCTCCATGATTGCAAGCTAGCCGCCGAATAAGTCCTGGAGACGTGCCATCATCTGCTGCAGGCCTGCTGGTGCCCCAGGAGCGACGGCTTGTCCCGCCCACGGCCGACTGGGCGACACTGCGCCCGCCATCCGAGTCGGCGTCATCGCTGGGAGCCCCGCGCGAGGGCACCGCCTGGTTGTTCTCCTTCGTCGGCGTCGCCAACAGAAGTGCCCCGAAACAGCCCCCCGAGGCCATGGCAGGGCTTGAGGCCGCCCCCGCGCCCGAGGGAGCGGTGGTCGAACCATCCGAGTCGGACTCGCCATCGCCAGGTTGACTGCCAGCGCCGCCAGATCCGACATCTAGCTTCGCCGTCTTACCTTTGGAGGCGGCCTTGTCCTTGCGAAACTTCGCGAGGAAGTCATCCACAGCCTGCGTGTGCATGTTCTCGCCCTTGGTCAACAGCTGCTGCACGCCCTTGTCGCCGACGTCCTTGCCGTAGAAGTGCTGGAGGTAGGTGTCGGCCTGGTCTCCCCAGTAGTTCGTCTCCGCTGTCATGTGGGCGACCTCCTTCCTGACGCCTGTCTCCATGATAACTTGCAGTGTCCGGAATGGTTGAGAGTCGCCCTTGAAACACATCACACTCTCAAGCTTGGACGGGCCCCGCTCGGACGGCACCGTGACCCGCGGGATGTGGCTCGTCATCGACTTCGCAAGCTCCGTCTTCTCCTTCGCCGCCTGTCTGAGCTCCTTGTCGCTGGCGCAGACAAAGCTCCTCATCGTCCGCAGCTTGTGCGTCACGTCGGAAGCCACCGAGACGTCGTCGACGGGCTTGCCCTTGCCAGTCAGTCTGGCGGCCCGAGCATTCTCGACGTTGGCCTTCACGATAGGGTCATTCGCATTCATCTCGCAAAGCTCATGCCACGTCCAATGCTCGAAGGACTCGTTGTGCAACTTGCTGCACTCCTGGCACTTGTCATCGAGCGGGATCTCGGCACCAGAGTGCGACGTCTTGGCGTTCGCCCACGGCCTGTCCCGCGGGGAGGGCGAGTGGCGTGAGGTATTACTACTACCGCCACCACTACTACGACCACTACCATTACCACTACTACCACTACGACGTCGTTTTAGCACGTATCCTACTACTACTGCTGCTACTACGAATACTACAAATACTACTACTGCGACTGCTTGTACTATTTAGTTGCACCAGTAACATGAGGTTCGAAGAAAGCCAGAATCAAGTTTTCACTGCGCAGGTCCTTGCTGGGCTTCCCAAGGCAGAGGCCGCACTTGCACTGGTCGCCGCACATGCGCCTCTTCTCGGGGGCAACGGCCGGCGGCGGCGCGTCGAAATCCCCGCCGCCACCGACGGCAGAGGCCAGGCGCCTCCTGCCTGCCTTGGCAGGCGGCTGGCCCTCTGCCCCGCCCCCCTTGGCGGCCATGTCCAGGCCGCCGCGGCGCTGCTGTGAAGCTGGCCTGGCAGGCCTAGTCCACCCGCCCCGCTTGATCCCGAGCGGCATGAGAGTACGGCGACAGCGATCGGGACTCCCAAGACACCGTGAGATAATTACGCGGGCTCTTTCTCATCATCGGGGCGATCTCTCATACTGAAATGGATCTGTCTCGCCATGGGGAGCCTTATTTCTCAACATGGGGATCGTTCTCATCATTGAAGGTTCTGTCTCATCATAGGAGCTCCTTCTCATCATGTGGCTAGTTCTCAGCATTGGGGCTATTTCCCATCATTGGGGGTTCTTTCTCATCATGAGACTCTTTCTCATCGCGGCGGCTCTTTCTCATCATTGGGGGGCCCTTCTATGATCGGGGCTCTGTCTCACCAGTGGATCCGAAGGAAGGAGAGCGAAGAGGGGGGGGAGAGGGGGGGAGAGAAGCGGGGAGAAGAGGGGGAGGCAGAGGGATGGGGGGAGCCCAGAGGAGGGGGCTGGAAGGGGGGGGGGTGAGAAGGGGAGGAGGGAGAGGAGGGGCGAAGAGGAGGGGCAATTACTGCATGTTCAATCGAACTTCCTTGGGCGTCTCGCGCCTTCTGGAACGTCGGCCGAGCGGACCTGCAAAAAATGCGAGCGCCTCCGTCGC